TCTAGCTATGATATATGTATTTTCCAGTACTAAATGGCCAGGCTTTGGAATCTAGAGAGTCAATCAAGTGAGTTACTGGTTTTTTAAAGTTCACTGATACTTAACCGTGACTGATCTGGACCCATAATTCAGCGTACTTTTTACATGTTTAAGTCAAAGAGGACTGACAAACTGTTATATTGAAGTAACTTTTTCCCTAAAATTTTTTTATATCAGAATGAGAAATTCAACAGAAGGTCACTTAAGTGGGGGGGGTGAAAGCAATTTACTGGCTCACATAATAACTAGTAAAGACCAGAATGATGACAGCACATCTGGAATCCTGAATTTATAAAACTACACACAACAAAGTCTTACCCTATTCATACACCCCCTCCACCCCTTGCTGCTCCTGTAATGTAGTAGTTAGGAAAAACTTCTAAGTTTTTAGAGAAACTATGAGTTCTAGAGTACAGGAACTCTTAAAAAAAAAAAAAAGACTGCACTCAGCAGCAACAATGTGGCTTTTCTCTTTGGAGATCTTCTATTCCAAATTATCCTTCCTCAAATTACCCGTATTTTCCCATTATTATCTACTTGAAATCTTACCTACTTAAGACACATCCCCACACATCCCCATAAATTATTCTAGATGTTCATTAACAGAAACACACACACCCCTATTATTTCTAAATTGGATAATAAGCTTGCCTAATACTCAGAGAAATTGTAGGAAACCCTTCTTTCCTGCATGGCATCCTGTTCCTAGAATACAAAATAACATTAAAGCATACACTGCAAATAGGGGGAAAAAAAGGCTTTTGTGATTTTAGCCTGGGAATATTACTTCTATTCAGAAAGACAAAAAAAAGTATGTTTGCAGTTCTAAAGAATATAAATAGTACACAAACAAAATGAAAATTACTTTAAGAGAGAGAGAGAGAGAGATAGGGGCACCTTATACTTCCTAGGCTCGAGCCCCGCTGTCTATGCTGACAGCTCAGAGCTTGGAGCCTATTCGGATTCTGTCTTCCTCTCTGCTTCTCCCCTACTTGTGTGTGCAGGCATGCTCGTTTTCTCTCTTTTTCTCTCCTCTCTCTCACTCAAAAGTTAAATAAAATAAGAAAAAAAAGTGCTTTAAAAGTTACAAATGGGCGGGGGGGAGCGCCTAGGTAGTTCAGTCAGTTAAGCGTCCGACTTCAGCTCAGAACATGATCTCACAGTTGATGGGTTCGAGTCCTGTATCAGGCTCGGTGCTGACAGCTCAGAGCCTGGAGCCTGCTTCAGATTCTGTGTCTCCCTCTCTCTCTGCCCCTCCCCCACTCATGTGGCATGTGTGTGCACGCCCGGTCTTTTGCTCTCTCTCTGTCAAAAATAAAAATTTTTAAAAAGTTACAAGTAGGAATTCCCTCCCCCCTTGCAATGGAAAGAATGTATTTTATTCTGTTCTTTGACATATGAAATTCCATGAGGGTGTAATGTACTAGAGATAGATAATTAGAGGGTTATGAACCTAATCATCTTAAAGGAAAATAGGATTTTTGCAACAGTAGCAATAATAGGGAAGAAAATAATTTATATATTGCTGTAAAATGTAGATGTTTTTCTTTGAGAGTAAGTAGTTCCTGCAAGAAAATGTAACATGAAATTCTTTTTTTTTTTTTTTATGTTTTTTTTATTTATTTCTAGGAGAGAGAGACAGTGTGAGCAGGGGAGGGTCAGAGAGAGGGAGTCACAGACTGAAACAGGCTCCAGGCTCCGAGCTGGCAGTCAGCACAGAGCCCGACACGGGGCTCGAACCCACAAACCGCGAGATCATGACCTAAGCGAAAGTCGTTAAGTCGGACAATTAACCGACTAAGCCACCCAGGAGCCCCTGTAACATGAAATTCTTAAGGCATATATTGTAGCTTACTAAGAAGTTACTTAAAAAAAAATGTCCAGTTGGGGCGCCTGGGTGGCTTAGTCGGTTAAGCGTCTGACTTTCGCTTAGGTCATGATCTCACGGTTCGTGGGTTCAGGCCCCGCGTCGGGCTCTGTGCTGACTGCCAGCTCAGAGCCTGGAGCCTGTTTCAGTCTGTGACTCCCTCTCTCTCTGACTCTCCCCTGCTCACGCTGTCTCTCTCTCTCTCTCCTAGAAATAAATAAAACATTAAAAAAAAAAATGTCCAGTTAACACAGCATGCCAATTTAATTAACAGAGTAATTATTTTATGGGGCACCTGGGTGGCTCAGTCAGTTAAGCATCTTGATTTCAGCTCAGTCCATGATCTCAGGGTTGTGAGATCAAGACTGGAGTCAGGCTTTGAGCTGAGCGAGGAGTCTGCTTAAGATTCTCTCTGCCCCTCCCTTGTGCATGGAGTCTCTCTCCCTTTAAAAAAATTTTTTTAATGTTTATGTGTTTTTGAGAGAGAGAGATAGAGCATGAGCAGAGGTGGGGCAGAGACAGAGGGAGACACAGATTCCAAAGCAGGCTCCAGGTTCTGAGTTGTTAGCACAGAGCCCAATGCAGGGCTCGAACCCATGAACCGTGAGATCATGACCTGAGCCAAAGTCAGAGGCTCAAATGACTGAGCCACCTAGGCACTCCCATTTGTAACTTTTTTGAAAAGTATTTTTTTCCTTTTCAAAAACATTCACTGTACAGATAGTAATATCCTAAGTTTAAAAAAATTGGGCTCCTCTACAGAAAACATCATTTGCTTTTAGGGACACTTGGGTGACTCAATCGGTTAAGTGTCCAATTCTTTTTTTTTTTTAATTTTTAAAAGTTTATTTATTTTGGAAAAAAAAATAAAGTTTATTTATTTTGAGAGAGAGAGCATGAGAGGGGAGAGAATCCCAAGCAGGCATTGCACTGTCAGCACAGAGCCCAATATGGGGCTCAAGATCATGACCTGAGCCAAAACCAAGAGTGGGACTCCCAAATGACTGACCCACCCAGGCTCCCCAAGCATCCAACTCTTGATTTAGGCTCAGGTCATAATCTCATGAACCCAGAGATGGAGCTCAAATTAAGCATAGTGCCTGTTTGGGATTCTCTCTACCCCTCCCCCACTGTGCTCTCTCTTAAAATAAACTTTTAGGGGCACCTGGGTGGCTCAGTCAGTTAAGCGTCTGACTTTGGCTCAGGTCATGATCTCATGGTTGATGGGTCAAATTCTGTGTATGTCTCGCTTGCTCGCTCTCGCTCTTTATGCCCTTCCCCTGCATATTTTCTCTCTCAAAAATAAAAATCAACTCTTTAAAATATAAAAATAAACTTACTTAAAATAGTAACTAGATAAATGTTCCATTGGGAAGATCATCTACAGAGCCAGAGCTATCAGTTTTATCTTCAATTATATCTCTACCCAAAGTTGTCACAAATAGTGAAGTTAAAGCAGTTAGGACCAGGAGGTAGGAAACCCCTCAAACAAGATTTTGGTATCCTACTGTTTTATTGACTTTACTATAAATGACATAATTTATTTAATGCAATATACAGATTCATTACTTCTGCACCAGTATAAAGGCTACTGGATACAGATTTAACAAATGTTGCTATAGAATCAATAATCAATTTTATTCTTTCCTCCTTCAATTTCTGGAGACATTATCATTTATTTTAAATACATTATCACAGCTTCAAAGAGAAAGCTAGAACTAGGGTGCACAAATGACAGCATAGAAATCAGAAATCCAGTATCCACTGAATTGAAACAAATTCCTGGGAATTGAAGGAGGTATTAACAGGACACTTTAATCAACTGCCCAGAAATAACTGCAGGTAAGTGGCAAATGTTATGAAAGATAGGAAAAGATCTTAAAATTAGCAAAGCTACTGATTTTAAAAACTCAAGAGAAAACTCAAATATGAAAATGATGATCAAATTTAGAGGTCTACAAGTAAAACATTTAATAGGTTAGCACTACTAAGAAATTAGTCACAACAGCACTTCTGTGTCTTGTTGCTTTACCAGTCCCGCATCCTCTGGGAGTATGGGTGTACTTTTTTTTTTTTTTTAATGTTTGTTTATTTTTGAGAGAGAGAGAGTGCAAGCAGGGGAGGGTTAGAGAGAGGGGGAGACAAAGAATCTGAAGCAGGCTCCAGGCTCTGAGCTAGCTGTCTGCACAGAACCCAATGAAGGGCTCAAATTCCCAAAACATGTCATCATGACCTGAGCCGAGGTCAGACACTTAACCGACTGAGCCACCCAGGCACCCGAGGTGTGATTTTCTATTAATCCAACCTCCTATTTGGGTAAATTTTTAAACGGTAATTCACATGACTGTCATTTGTTAGTTTATTCAAAAAAAAAGACCAGATAGAAATTTTTGTGCTATCAGATATGCTAATAACTTAACAGGACTGAAAAGTTCTCACTTGATGTTTAGATTGTTTAGGGACATATTTAACTATGAAAGCACACTTACACAATTATTCTATTCCTTCATTGTAACAATTTTTGGCACCAGTGACTTTTAAGGATGAGTCTTGCAGAATTATAATCCCAGTAGAATGAATAAATGAATTTTACAGCCATAGTTATTTTATTAATACTAAACTTAGTTTCCGTGAACTAGGTGATGGTGCCATGGATATGAGGGAAAAAGTACTAGTACTAATCCATAGGTTTAATGTCTAAGTATAGTGTGTAATTTATTTCATTTTAGCCTGTTGCATCAGATAGGGTCCAACCAAGAAAAAGGAACCACATAGTAATTTGGAAAGGGAAAGTTTCACTTAAAGAATTATTAATTACAACAGAGGAGTAACATATATAAACAAGTACAGAGAATACTAAAGAATACCAGAGGACTGAGCAAGAATACCCACGGCAGGAACAAAGGCCCTTCCCCAGAACCAGGGTATGAATCAAAGAGAAGGTGTGATTGCAGCCTACTGGATGGCACAGAAGTTCACCAGGTTGAGCTGCGTGGGCCTAACAGGCTGGTTAGTGAGCATACAAAGGGAAACCTGGGAGCCTAACCCAGCAGTGACTGCACAGGGAGGGCCACGGGAAAACAACCCTCTGTGGTATAAGCAGATGTGCAGGGGGAGTTGGGGTGTTGGCTGCTAGATCTCCAGGAAGAAGACATGATGTCTGGGGTGTGCAATGTCCACAACAGAGGAACTGGTGAGGTGGTCACTCAGTTGGAGCTGGAGCTGTGAGTTTACCAAAAGTGTGTCTACTGTGGGCATTCACGTGGGGCAGAGGACCACTGGATGTTCCCATATCTGTGCCACTGGTAGCTACACAGAAGGAACAAGAAACAACAGAAACCCCTTCCTTGTTTAGTGTCCCTTCAGCATCCTCTACTGACAAAGTTTAACATCAATCAAAGAAGAAATGCTTAAAGGGTCAAGCTCCAATATCACAGAGCAAGTAAGAGTTGATTTAGAGCTGACAGGGAATCTGATAACCGGCAGACTTGGTATTCAGGTATCTTCATGAAGAGTAAAGCATGACAAAAACAATAAATTGGAAATACACATGACATCAAATGTGACTAAAATACGATAATTAAAGAATTCTGTCACTGCTGTCATTTCTTCAGTACACTCTGAAAATGGGGAAAATAAATCAGGTATGTTATTATATTTAATAATAGATCTCAAAAATCTCAGCTCCTCATAGCACTATAAACAACTGGTTTACAAAAAAATTTTTTTTTAACATTTATTCATCTTTGAGAGAGAGACAGAGCATGAATGGGGGAGGGGCAGAGAGACACAGAATCCAAAACAGGCTGCAGGCTCTGAGCTGTCAGCACAGAGCTCGACATGGCACTTGAACCCACGAACCGTGAGATCATGACCTGAGCCGAAGTTGAACACTCAGCCGACTGAGCCACCCAGGCGCCCCTAAACCAGTGGTTTTCAAAGAAAGAGAATATACAGAGAAGGACAGAAAGAGGGGGGAACCTTTTCTATTGCATTTATCTAAAACAAACTTTATAATTTAGTACACAGACTGAAGTAATTAGATAAGCTGTAATAGTAGGTATATGTGGAGTGTGCATACACAGTCTCTCAAAATATCTTATTGTGCTGTACTAATCCTTCTTCTTAGGATAAAACTGTAAAATGCCTATGTGATGAGACAAAGTGAGATGAATGATATAGGTACTGTGATCTGACTATATGTCAGAAGGAGGATAATCTGCTCTGGACAACAGATGACGATGGGTAACCGAAACTGTAAGAAAAGTGAAATAGTGGATAAGAGGGGGACTACAGTATATAAATACATAGACATTCCTATATTGAGGTTTCATACTCAAATGTTTACTGGCAGAATACCCAGTTAAAAGCAGCTTAAATATCACAGATGTTGACAATGACCCGATTTTATCCCGTGACTTTTAGGTACTTCTGTATGCCAAATAAAGAGACAAAACACATCACAAATGCAGGTTTTTTTAATCTAATAAAATAAAGAAATGAACTTAGTTATATGTAGAGCTTAGAAACCAATTTCTTTAACTAGTTGTTCCCATTATAGTTGATAAATATCAATTGATTACCTTTATAAATTTTTATTTATTTTTTAGTAAGTTTTTTATTTTAGAAAGAGTGAGAGAGCAGAAGTGAGGGAGAGGGACAGAGGGAGAAAGAGAGAATCCCAAGCAAGCTCCATACTCAGGGCAGAGCCTGACATGGGCCAATTCCACTACCCTGGGATCATGACCTGAGCTGAAGTCAAGAGACACTCAATGGATTGAGGCACCCTGCATCAATTACCTTTAAAAGACTCATACTCAAATAAATTCAAAATTAATAAAATTCCCACAATTGCTAAAGAACCCTAATTAACATGTTCTTAAATAAAGCTAGTAATTAATCTCTAATACAATAGTAAAAAGCTTACATTCATTATTCTGCTTTCTTAAAGTTTTAATTTCAAATTTCTGGGGTGCCTGGGTGGTAGAGTTGGTTAAGCTCAAGTCATGATCTCCTGGTTCACGAGTTCAAGCCCCAATAAAGCTCTGAGCTGGCAGTGCAGAGCCTGCTTGGGATTCTTGCTATCTGCCCCTCCCCTGCTCGGGCTCTCTCTCTCAAAATAAATAAATAAAATTTAAAAAGAGAAAAAAAGAAATCAAATTCTTCAAGTTTATGTAAATTCCCTCTGCGCCCTAAAAGAAATGTCAAAAAATAACACTTAAGTATTCCTCTTGAAAAGAAAAAAAAAATATTTAATTTGGGTTTTGTTTTTATTTTTTAAACATTAAATCCTAGTTACTTGACTTAGCCAAGTTATTCTACTTCTCTGTGTCTTAGCAGTCTCCTATAAATAGGAATCATGGGGTGCCTGGGTGGCTGAGTCGGTTAAGCGTCCAACTTCAGCTCAGGTCATGATCTCACAGTTTGTGGGTTCAAGCCCTGCGTCAGGCTCTGTGCTGACAGCTAGCTCAGAGCCTAGAGCCTGTTTCAGATTCTGTATCTCCCTCTCTCTCTGACCCTTCTCTGCTGACGCTGCCTCTCTCTCGCTCAAAAATAAATTTTAAAAAAACATTAAAAATTTTTTGAAAAAAAAAGGAATCGTAATTCTATTTCAGAGTGTTGTTGAGGATTGAGTTCATCTCTCAATCTCAATCTCTCTCCCTTTCTTGTCCCAACACACACACACGTCACGCAAATACACACATTTTTAATAGCTCCTGGCACACAGTCAGAATTTAATAAATGTAAGCTATTAAAATGACTCTTACTGATCATATACTCATGTTTGCTTTATAAGAACTGTATGTATTTGACCCAACTAAGTCCTTGCCTGAACCCTGATACCTAATGTGAGAACTAAGATGAAATAAAAGTAGTCAAAAGAAACCTAATTTCAGTACGTAACAGCCTCTTAGGAGCACAAAATTCACTCTCCCCTCCAATAATTAAAACATCTATTCAAGGGAAAAAGAGGAGACATACATTCAACAGATTTAATTAACTATGATTCAGTAAAATAAGAGACATGGCCCCTGTTTTTAAGAAGTACCAATTTAGGAGTAAGCTGAGGAAACACATACAATCATAATACAAAGAAACTATGATAAAAGCCAGAAAAAGAGTCTAATATAAAGAAAATGTCATTAAATCCATTTAGGAGTGTAGGAAAGGCTCACTAGAAATTTAATACCTAATAATTTTATCACAGATTGAGGGAAAGAAATGTAGAGACATGGAGTTGGTAAGAGGAAACACTAAAGGAAAAAGCTAAAACCAAAGCACGGAGGAGAGGGAGGACGTGAAAACTGTAGTATAAACAAAACATAAAGACCTAAGGCTACAGAGAAATAAGAGATATGATTTCCAATTAGCCAAGCTGGTACCTTGGGAGCCAGGTCATATATCTGAATGTAAGGCAAGTGAGCTTGAATTTTATTTTTCATGGAAAAGCATCTCATGTGGTGCTTACTGATGTGACAGGCATTGTGCTGATGCCTCATTTAATCCTCACAACCCTATGAAGTAGGTATTATCCTCCTTTAATAAGTTAAGAAAGTGAACCCACAGCTAATAAATGGTAGAACTGGGATTTCTACCTCATGGTATCTAACCCAGAACCTGAAGTCTTCAACACTGGGCTGCCTTTTAAAGTCTTTAACAAGGAATGCCTGGGTGGCTCAGTCATGTAAGTGTCCAACTTTGGCTTAGGTCATGATCTCACAGCTCTTGAGTTCGAGCCCCACATCTGGCTCTATTCTAACAGCTCAGAGCCTGGAGCCTGCTTCGTATTCTGTGTCTTCCTCTCTCTCTGCCCTCACCCAGCTCACGCTGTCTCGCTCTCTCTCTCTCAAAACTAAATAAAGCTTTTTTAATTTAAAAAGATGATTGTTAAAAATTTTTTAAATTAATAAAATCCTTAAGAAAAGCATATGATAACTATGCTCTGAAAAGATAACTGATTATCTTAGCGACAATATGAAGATAGACTGGAGAAGAGAATGGAAGACAGAAAAGTACCTTCGTGAAAAAAAGATCTTTATTTTTTTGCTGCAAGAAACTAAATGGCTGGTTAATATATCAGATCCAGCCAGAGAAGGCTACAGGAAGCAGTGCATGAATAAAATCAATAGAATTTGGTGACTAAGATTACGGAGGTGAAAGGAGGAGTTAAAAATGACTCAAGCTTTCAAAACTTAAGTTTAAGTGTGAGTGGGGGAAATGTCTCCAACAGCCTTTCTATTTCGCAGGAGTGAAAGAATGTAAGGGAGAGTGATGAGTATAATTTCAAACACATTTAAGTAGAAAAACCTGCTGAACTCTACGAGGAAGAGTTCCAAAGGGGGCTGGAAATAAGAGCCAAGAGCTAAGAAGAATAGTAAGGTCTGAAATTAATGGATACTGGGGCACCTGGGTGGTGCAGTCGATTAAGCATCTGACTTTGGCTCAGCTCATGATGTTGGAGCTCATGAGTGCAAGCCCCACACTGGGCTCTCTGCTGTCAGCACAGAGCCCATTTCAGATCCTCTGCCCCCCCCCCCAACACACACACCTCCCTGGCACTTATGCTCTCTCTCTCAAAAAACAAAACAAAATTTAAAAACAAAATAAAGAATGGATACCTGGAAATGCTATCCAGAGTGAGTGACAGAGGATGCTGTCAGAGTGGATGACTACTGAAGATTAATATGGAAGCCATGGATTATCAAGTAGGGCATCACGGGCCACTTTCTGATGAGAATCAATCCCAGACATGATGATAAAGTGGGAAAAATGGTTGAGGGTTACTCATGAGAAGTGCAAGGAAGAAAAGAACATTCGAGGAAATGGCACAAAAAAAATTCTGAAATAGTGAATCTAGTCTTTTAAATGTATCAATGGTAGCTAATAATCACTGTGCAATTGTAGCAGGTGAAAGTAAGAGTCAGTGAAGATGACTAAGGAGCAATCACAAAGGTAGGAGATTAGGAGAGCAATGTAAATAAATTTGAAGGGAAATAAACTTAAGATAAGATCACAAACATTTAAAATCCCAAGGGGCTGAGCAGGCAAGCCATTTCAGCTGTAGCCATGAATGAGTCCAATACTGCCAGATTCCTGACTTTCCAAGAGTAAGCCAAACATCCACATTTCATTATGAAAGCTTATAACTTTTTATAAACCTTTTTTAATGTTTATTTTTGAGACAGAGAGACAGATAGACAGTAGAGGAGGGACAGAGAGAGAGGGAGACACAGAATCTGAAGAAAGCTCCAGGCTCTGAGCTGTAGGCACAGATGCAGGGCTCAAACTTTCATACCGTGAGATCATGACCTCAGCTGAAGTAAGCCACCCAGGTGCCCCAAAGCTTACAACTTTTTAAATAAATGTTTATTTTTGAGAAGGATAATGCACACATGAGAGTGGGAGGGAGGACACAGAGGATCCAAAGCAGGCTCTGTGATGACAGGAGAGAGCCTGATGTGGGGCTCGGACTCAAAGTGACATGACCTGAGCTGAAATCAAGAATCAGACACATAACCGACTGAGCCACCCAGGCGCTCCAAAGCTTGTAATTTTTTAAATGTGGACAATTACATTTTCTTAAAAACAACGCTGGCATGTGAAGTATTCTGAGCTGCTGGATTGCTACCTGGGTCTACATTTA